TGTGTGTGTGTGTGTGTGTGTGTGTGTGTGTGTCCTCACCTGTGTGTGTGTGTGTGTGTGTGTGTGTGTGTGTGTCCTCACCTGTGTGTGTGTGTGTGTGTGTGTGTGTGTCCTCACGTGTGTGTGTGTGTGTGTGTCCAGGTGTGGCCCGCTGTTTAACACGGGCTTCCTGAGGAGGATGCTGTCGGCGGCGGTGCAGCACAGTATGGACGACATCCAGCCGCTCGTCAAAACTCTCATCTGCGAGTCCGACTGCACCACGCTCAAGTCTTTAGTCCACGGACCGTCCGCTCTCACCAACCAGGGTAAAGTCCGACAAAATCATGCTAATTATTCCTAATTACAACTTTATCTCATAAGTTTTTACTTAACATGAACTTGTATTATCAAGTTTTCACATTATTTTCTAATTTTGCTAATTATTTTATCTCATAATTTCGGCTTTTTATTGATAATTTGACTTTTAGTATCATAAATATAACTTTCTATCATAATTAAGACTTTATTTAATGATTATGTTTTATTATCAAGGCTCAGTTTTTATCTTATGTGTTTTATATTCCATAAATATGTGATGAAACCCGTGTTAACAGAATATTCCCTCTCTGCAGTGGAGTGTGGAGTCGTTATTAAGACGTTACAGATCGGAGAGGACTCGGGCCCCGCTGATCAGTCCGGTGAGTCCGTCACAGTTTTTATACAAAGCTCTGTAATGAACAGGTTCTTTCCAGGTTCATTATCACATATATAATAGATTTTCTCCATAAAATATGATCCGGTTTCACCAAAATCACCGACCATCGGCATATAAACGCAGGACGACTCCTCTTACTCCCACTGTGCAGAAATGGACTCAGCAAAACCCCTTTTTATATCTTCAAATAACTGATTAAAACCAAACTGATGATAAAAATGAACACTTGAACAAACATCAGCGTGATAACTGCCTAAAAGGACTTTATGAGCTGTACTGCAGTCAGCCACCAGAGGGCGATAGAGAGAGGATGGTACCGACCTGAAGCCAAACATAGTGAGAGAGCAGGCGTACAGCACCCTGTTACAGCTCAGTGTGGCATCATACTGACACTGACTCTCTCACCCTCTAACGGAGACAAATCTGTGAGGCTCTCCCTAAAAACTGTGCTGCAGAGTTTCAGAGTTTGACAGGAATCCTTCTGAGTTGAGCTCTCTGTTCAGGGCTAACGTTCGGGTTCTCTCTGCAGGGAAAAGAAAGACGGGAGACGAGTCGGGGAACGTAGTGAAGAAGATGAAGTCTGACGTGTCCCTGGAGCACCCGCCCTTCTACTACAGCATCCACAGACACAGCATCAGAGGCATGAACATGCCCAAGTAAGTGACCTCTGACCTCTTTCTCTGGTGTGTGCGGCCAGTAGTGGACTGTCCAGGAAGGCAGCGCCAGAACTGCGTCAACTATTTAATTAATCGCCGACTGATTGTAATCAATTCATTGTTTGGACTCTCAGATTCTCTGTTTGTAGCTTCTCTTTCTGACATTTTATGGCCCAAACAACCAATCGATTAATCAAGAAAACGACCGTAGTCCACTGTAATGAGCTGTGAGCATCTTTGGTACCTAATAGGCTCATTTGATGTTACTTCCTCTTTAGGGCTGCAACGATTATTTGCATTATTGATAAATCTGATGATTATTTTCTAAATTGATTGATTGGTCAGAAAATGGTGAAAATGTTCTCCAATGTCTCTTTATATATTTAATGTTATTCCATTTTATATATATGTGCTGATATAATTATAGGTATGATTTGTTTTCTGTCTAAAAACATTTACGAAATAAAAATAATTTCTTTGCACAGGTTGAACAAGTTCCTTCAGTACCTGACGGAGGCCGGCTTCAGGGTGAGCCGGACTCACTTCGACCCGACGGGGGTCCGAACAGACGCCACACTGGAGCAGTTTAAATCTGTCCTCACCAAGTACAGCGTCCCCACGTACACCAACGCCACCGCCGCCGCTCAGACGAGTGTGAGCACGGAGAAGACGGTGTGAGACAGACACACTGACACTGCTCCATCAGTTCCTGCTGTTCTGACTGCACTGATGTCTCAAACACAGCTCGCCGCTTTTACTAAAACAAAGTAATCAAACCAAAACTCGTGGATTTTTATTGAATCTGCGAACCAAACTGATCTGAGCCCAGTTGATCCACTGTATTTATTTCAGATTTCCTTTTTCTAGCTGGTTTACTGTCTATTTTTGTTTCTCTTCTCTTATAAAAACATAATAAAATTGTTCTGAAAGTCTGAATTTGGCGATTTCTCAGGTGTTGTTTTTATATCCTGTAATTCTTTATTGAGCCTTTGTACCTGGGGCACCAGCTCCACCAGGTGAGCCATCAGGACGCCCGATGATGTCACTTTGTTTAGTAGCCACTATTAGCTGTGGCTCAATGCTACGTCCCGCTGGGTGACACCGACACCACGAGGCTGTTGGAGGGTAAGGAGAGGTTTTATTCCTCTGGATGCATTTGGGTGAGTTTCTCTTTGTGTTTTCAGTCTCTATGCTCCACCACTGTATGCTGCCACTGCTGTTACAGCCAGTAATGGATGTTTGTTCTGGCTTCATTCATTTAAAAAAACAACCTCTGTAAATTAAACAGAGAGAGAGATGTGTTTCAGGGGGATCTGGCAACCATAGATTGTCTTTTCTGTATTCAAAAAGGATGCAATCTGCAACTTCACCACTAGATGCCACTAAATCCTTCACACTGGTCCTTTGAGTGAGAGTTTCTGCCTCTGGACTCTCCATGAATATTTCTGTAGATGCTTTAAATATTTAAGAATCTATAAGAAACTGAATCATTGTTTAATGTGATCATTACAGCTGTGACTCAACTCTCAGAGCATCATGGGTGATCATCGGGCGCCTTCAGGGTAAAAACAAAAAGTGAGCTGGCTTTTCTGAGCGTCACTGAATGACACAGGAGGAGGAGGGGGAGGGGGAGAGGGCGTGCTCCTCCCTCCCTCCCTCCCTCCCTCGCTGCCTTCTCCCTGAGGCAATGTGGAGACAGTGGTTGCGCAGCTCCAGCTTTAGTGTCCGTCAGCATGTAGCAGGCCCTGAGATCCTCAGTCAGCGAGACACTCAGGCCGTAATGAGCAGACAGCGGCCCCGCGTTGACACTGACGCTAATGGATTTCCACAGTTCAGGAGCACGCCGGCGTCCCCGTGGTCTTAATTCAAACAGGGATTAGCAACAGGAGAGGGAGTCATCTGCTCCTGCACTGTGTGAAGAAAGGGAGCAGATGAGGGGAAGAGACAATCAGGGGAGGAAGAAAGGGGGGGAGGTGGTTGGTTGGGCGGTGGGTCTGACTGGAGGGTTTGAGTTTTAGTCTGACAGGAGCAGAACTAATGAGTTATCCGTCAATATCGGGGTGTGGTTTGGTTATCATTGAATCAAAATGGAACGTGCATCGTCCTCCCTTTGCCCTGAACATCAGAGGATTCTAAGAAGAAGTTGTCCATCCTGGCATTAGTTAGTTCCCATACAGCCGGCATGCTGGGACGTATGGGAACTTGCGTGCATATAACCCATTTGTAGTTGGCCTCGCTCACTCATCCTCGGGACGTGTCTGCCGCAGCACTTGCCACGCTACCGGCCGCGTTTGATCATCAGCTGACAGACATTCAGCGCTGTACCTGCTGCTTCATTTGCCACATGTACCCAATTAAAGCGAGCTTCCTCACCCCCGCCGCTACGGAACACGCTGGCATTATACTTTCCCAGAAAAAAAAAAGAGATATTTTTGACTTTTTCCTCAGAGGTTTACCCCGACCAATGAGAATATCTCCACAGCAGCAGGTTTTTAAGTGTGACATTAGATTAAGATTAATCTAGGTTAGTCATGATGGTAAAAATACATCTTATTTTGCCTTCAACTTGCAAAACCGATTCTCCTGTTAAGAAGATTTTCCTTTTAAATACAGGTGTTAGCTCCATTAAAACTGCTCCTCAGTGCCTAACTGAGTGCTTTACTCGGCTCCAGAATATTGACCGTGTATCATTGTCTTAAATCTGCCAAGAGGGGTGCCACAGCTGCGCCCCCGACTGTCACTGTGTGCTGATGGTCTTCATGTGTGCCCATTAATTCCTAATTTACGTTAAGACTGAAGGCGAACAAATCCTAAGAGTAATTCGGTCAATAAAGTTGTCGCCGCCGAGTTGATCATGGCGCAAAAAGAGTCTTATTCCTCTGTTATTAAGTCCGAGCAGCAGAGGGGAAAGTTTAGATAGAACTCTTCACTGAAGTCTGTGTCTGACACTCACTCGTGTGCAGTAGTTTGCTGGCTCTATGCTATATTTACTCCAGCAAACATGCATTTTGCGGAAACACGTAGATGATGAGCACAGAACTAAATGAGGTAGATGTAACAGTGTGTGTGTGTGTGT